GTAAAAACAAAATACTAGGTGATCAACAATGGTTACCATACTGACTCTTGCTATCTTAAAAAGAATTGCCTATATCATTGGTTATAATAAAATTGAACAAAACAGCAAAGAATAAAACCAAAACATTGGAGACATTACAGGGCTTTAAAAGAAGGTAATAGTCAACTGGAATGAGCGTCATAACAAATCTTATTGTCTTTACAGTTGTTGCCTATACTTTCGAACTTGGTACTACCAAGCAAAGCAGAATAGAGGAAAATCAGTCAAAGCAAGATGGTGAGGGCTATACAGGGTTTCAAATCAAGTTAATAGGAAATCAAAGTGGGTTACTGAAATAATATGTCCTGGGTTTTTTTATTTTTCCCTTAATTAGAAAGAAAAAATAAAAAAGTAAATAATTTTAAAAAGGAGACTGAGATAAAAGAGGGCATAACAACAAAACAGCGCAAGTCAAAGCATAACCATTTAAGTGAAATAGTGTTTCACCACAAAACATCCCGACATAAAAGTAGTAACCATAATGTCTCTTCCCTTGAAATCTTTGAGTATAACTTCATATACTGTAGCACCAAACATATCAAGACAATGTAAAACCATTCACGAGAATGACAGGGTATTTAGAACCAACTATCAGAAAATGAACAACGGTTTCTGATTAATCTCCTTGTCTATAAAAGTTTTTGCTTATATTATCACATATAATAAAATCCAATAAAATACAACCTGTTAAGACCGATGGAGACAGAAGAATAAAAGCTTGATGGGACTTCAAAGCAAGATGATACTAAATCAGCACTAGCTATTATGATGTCTTGTTTTCTCCAACATAGCTGTTCCTAACATCCAATCTTCTCTGCCTCATTTCTGTTGAGCTCTTTTTCTGTCATTTGTTGTCAATTTGTCTTCTTCATTTTGCTTTCTGCTCCATTCATTGTGGCCTCTCTGCCACTGTTTCGTAAATCTTGGTATTTTCCTTTTTTAGAATATCCCGCAATATTCTCTGTAGAGTTGAATTGGTGGTTGCAACTTCCCCTAGTTCCACTTTATCCTAGAAGCACCTTGTTTTTCCATCAATTTCTAGGGACAGTTGTGCAGAATATATCAATCTTGGCTGGAGGTTGTTATCTTTCAAAGCTTGAATCATTTCCCCCCACGCTCTTCGTGATTTGATGGTTTGTGCCGAGAAGTCTGCTGTAATTCTGATGGATGTTCCCTTGTAAGTGATCTGTTTCTTGTCTCTGACGGCTTTTAGTAATCTGTTCTTATATTGGATTTCTGGAATTTTGATTATTATATGCCCGGGTGGAGCTCTGTTTGGGTTGTAGATGGCTGGGGTCCTGTATGCCTCATACATCTGAGTATCTTTACCATTTGCTAAATTAGGGAAATTCTCTTGGATTATTTCTGAGAATACCTTTTGTAGTCCATTTGTTTGTGTCCCTACTTCTTCTATTATATTCTTAATTCTTAGGTTGTAGATCCTCTTATCATCTTCTAGTCTTTGTTTTTGCTGTTTGTTTTCTTGTTATTTTTAAGAAGTTTTTCATTTCATGCTCCCATATTACAAGTCTGCCCTCCAATTCAGATAATCTATCTTTAGTTTCTTTCAAGCTGTTATGCCAGCTTTTGATTGAGTTTTTAGTTTCCTGGTAATCTCTTTGAACCTGCTTCATTTATTCTATGTGTTCTCTATTTGCTCCATCAAACAATACTCCCCTTTTTTTCTGTTTTTCCATTCCACCATCTGTCTTTCCTTGGGCGGTGCTTGGCATTTCTCAAACTATTCTACTTATCTCTTGCTTTATTTTCTTAAATACTTCATTTTTAAACTCATCTGTGAGGCTCTGGAGATACCACTTTATGTCTATTGGTGCCGTGTCTGAAATTGCATGTTTTCTGTCTTCCTTTGCATTTCCCTTTCCTGGATCAGTGTTCTCAGGATTGGGGGTTGGGGAACCTTTCTTGTCCCTTCCTCTTCCCATACTTTTTGTTCCTTCCATACAAGTGAATGTAGGAGGCCCATTTTTTTTCTCTTTTTCAGTTACAGTTTGTTTGAATTGCACTGGCTAGGTGTTCCACCCACTGCAGTGTACTAGGAAGACCTGGGCAGCCTCTGCTGGGCCTGCTCCTCCAGGTCAACCTACCGAAGCCTTCACTGCTAGGGTGCACCTCCAGGTGTTGGAACCTGTGTTGGGCTTGCCTACTGGGTCTAAGTCAGTGGCATCACACAGGCCAGGCTCTCCCCACCAATCCCGTTTGAGAGGGGGATATGTGACTGAAGTCACTGCAGCGCCCCATTCTGGCAAGTCTGCCCAGTCCCAGTATGTCCTTTGCTGGAGCCTTCTACTCTATGAAAGGGTCCCCATTCCCCTCACTCACCACAAGTCCATGTAGGGGTCCCTGCTAGTCCTGCTCTCAACTCCCTTCACAGATTCCTGTTCTTAGAGCTTTGCTCATCTCTCTCCCTGCCCTGCAGATTTGGACGCAGCAGCGGCAGCAGGAAATTCAGATCACGGCTTCCAGTGGTGCAGGTTCTAGCTTCCACACTGAGATTTTATCTGTTCCTGTTATAGCACCAGGATTGGATTTCCAGTTGGTTTCCCTAAGCTTAGTTCATTCCTCAATCATCAGGGTGTTTTTCCCCTTGCTTAGGACTCCTCTTACTGTAACATTCCTGGATTCTAAGTGGGGTATCTCAGAGAGCATCCATAGCTGCTGCTATCTATCTATCTGCCATGTTCTTCCGGAAGTCATGTTTTAAAATCTTGTATCATCATTTTTACCCTTTCTTCTCTTTCTCCTATTTAAAATAAAAAAATTAAACACAAATGGAGATGATTTATTTCTTGGTGCGATGGTAATATTAAACTGAAACTGGACATTTGGGCACTGTGTTTTGAGACCTCAGCTCTTACTGAAGCCATATGTCTCCGTGGATGTGCTGATATTGTCCTGGCAGGAGGAGGGAGAGGTCCACATCCTTACTCTCAGGTGCTGCCCAGCCCCAACCAGAATTCTCAATTTCCCCTCAGTAACATCATGCATAGTACAAACCCTGAGGTGATTGTATGTATTCCATTTTTACAGAGTTTCATGGGAATGATTCAGACACTTAGAAATTCAGATTACTTATTTTTGAGTTTTTTTTAAATCCTTTTATTATTTTTATTTTTGCATATAACAAATGAGAAACTATGATCACTCTAGTAGACTTATTATTGTTGTCAATATTAATCATTTTCTTTTTCCAACAGTGCTGAAATAGCAGCCACTAGTGGTCTACAGGGACAGTGTTCTCTAGCTGGCTTTCTTACATCTTCTCTAATGGTGTCCTTGTTTCTGTCCCCTGGCCCCAATGGATCTGGATTGGTATCAAGAGACAGTTGAACAGTAAATATATGTGAAGCAAATTTCTACTGCCTCCGTTTCTGCTCCTGTTGGTGTACTATTCTCTCATCTGGAGAGCACGCTGGAGGGCCAGTATAGTGCCCTAGATGGCATTTAGAAAATCCATGGGTAAATAATGGGCTAGTTGGAGTGAGAATTCATTGTCCCTTGTTTTGCTCTGCAGTTGTCCCCAGCAAGTCATCCCTTTCTGGTGCAGGAACAGGATGGGAACCTAGGGGCACAAGGAGGGCAGGACAGCTGCTCAGGATTCCAAGTGAGCCCACTCCCAAGTTCTCCAGACGACCAAGGAGGTTTGTGCTCTGCTTTCCTTTCCATCATTTCAACAGGTGAGATTTCACTGCGGTCTCTGGTTTATTCCGGACATGGGAAGGGAATTCACTGAAGAAGAAAGACGTGCAAACAAGACGCACTTATTAAAATTTTCACTTGGACAATTTAAAAACATCTTCAATGTGAGTGTTTACTTATTTACATTTTAGCTCCATGGACCTTTATCCATCTTGGTTATTGAAAGTGAGAAGGAGCAGGGACTAGAGCTCTGGGCACCATGAACTGACTGTGATGACCTGGAGTGACTCCACCACCTCGCCACTCACCCTGGTGTGACTAGAACATCTTGCCTGGAACATCCATTGGTTGTGATTTGAAGCACTTGTCACACCCTGAGCTCATCTCTCACAAAATAGCAGGAGCATTTGGCTTGGCTCAGTGAGACAGCAGAGTCAGAGATATGAGATGAGCACGAGTTAATCAAATTGAAAAGTCTCAAATAAGAGAATTTATGATTGAAGGGCAAGAAAAACATATTTGTTCTTACTCAGGTAAACAATATATGGGGTCAGAATGAATCAGAAAACCATGGTTGGAGGAAAGCATGCAGTCCATCTTCATAGTGAACACCAAGCATCCTTTAACTTCTGAGCTGAAGGTTTCAAAGATAGAATAGTTCACTTGACTGACCAATTAGTATAGAAAAATATGTGTCTTACACTGACCTACATCAGATTATATGTCAAAATTACCTGGGCTGATTATCTAACCAACCTATTAGAGCTCATTTGTGACTATTTGAATTCGTTTCAGAGGGCTTAGGGCCACAGAAAAAAATTTCCACCCACAAATTTGTGGTTCAAAAGATCAAAAAGAATCCTTGGGCTATGATAAAATAATATTTGGAGATATGACAGAATTCTATACCACAATATGTGTGTGCCTATGTGTGTGCAAGTGTTGTATATGTACATGTGTGTTTATATGTTGTTGAGGACTGAAGTAGGACCTAATGAATGTTAGGTAAGTACTGTACCACCCCACTACACACACCCAGCTACAGTATGTTTGTGCAGTTATAGTTTTCCTTTCTTGATAACTGAAGAACTTTGTCTTACTTGGCAATATACTACCTAGGAAAAAGATCAATATTGCTAAAATTGCATTAACTATATGCACAGTTCTTATTTATGAAACACATTTTTTAAATAGTAAGCAAATCCAAATGCAATGTTGAGGCTATTTTACGTGTTTGATAGAAAAAGTTTTGTATTCTTCAGCCAGAAACTTTTCATGTATTTTAGTGGAAATAGATTGAAGAAATGAAAAACCAAATCCAGGCAGAAGGGAACAGCACAGCAGTCCTGGAGTTCACCCTGGAGGGCTTCCCTGCAGTCCAGCACCTGGGGAAGGTCCTCTTCCTGCTGCACCTGCTGGCCTACCTGGCCTCTGTCACGGGGAACTCGCTCATCTTCACCATCATCTGGGCTGACTGCCGCCTCCACACCCCTATGTACTTCTTCCTCAGTGCTTTCTCGGTCTGTGAATGTGGTTTTATCACCACGGTTATTCCTGAACTGCTGAACACCTTTCTTTTAGGTCAGCAAAAAATTCGTTTCACTTCTTGTCTCATACAGGCATTTTCCTTTTTGTTTCTTGGGTCAACAATTTTCTTCCTCATGGCTGGGATGTCCTTGGATCGATACCTGGCCATTTGCAGGCCTCTCCACTACCCAGCCATCATGAACCTAAGGGTCTGCTTCTTTTTGGTTTTCTTCTGCTGCTTTTTGTCCTTCAGTCTTATCACTGGGGTAGTTCTAAAGGTTTCCCAGTTGTCTTTTTGTGGCCCCAATGTCATCCCTCACTTCTTCTGTGACCTCGGAGCTCTCATCCGTCTCTCCTGTTCTAACCACAGATCTACAGAAATGCTGACTTTCGCCCTAGCTTTGTTCATCTTGATCACTTCCCTCCTGATAACCATCATGGCCTACAGCAACATAGTGGTCACAGTCCTGCGCCTCCCATCAGCCAAGGAGCGGAAGAAAGCCTTCTCCACCTGCTCCTCTCACCTTCTTGTCCTCTCTCTGATGTATGGCAGCTGCATCTTCATCTACGTGAAGCCAAAGCAAACCAGCAGACTGGAATCCAACCGAGAGGCTGCTCTGGTGAACACTGTGGTGACCCCACTGCTGAACCCCATCATCTACACCCTGCGCAACAAGCAGATGCACCAGGCGCTGAGGAACATTTTGTTCAGGCTGAAGTTCGCGACATAGGGTTAGAAGACTGACGGATTGATGAGTTTTCTTGTCATCTAGTTTAACATGCTGTGGTGGAAATCTCCTCTGTAGAACTTCTACCTGCAATGATCTTGAGTATCCAAATTTTTACCTAAGTGGCTGCTACGTTACCTTGCAATTCCTTTCAGTGTATACCGACTCAGATTCATTCTTCATATTGTGCTGAAGCATACCTTTCTTGGTTTTCTACACATCTTTCTTCTTAAAGTTTTGTCCAGAAAATTGTGGTGAGTCTAACAGATACTAATGTGATAAGAACTCCTCCCTCTTTGTATCAGCAGATTCAACTAATCATGGAGGGAAAACATCTGGAATGAAACTTGACTATGAATTCAGCATGTACAGACACTCTTCTTGTCATTGCACCCTAAATAATACATTAATCAAATATTCACATAGGATTTATGTTTTCTTGGTTTATGAGTATCCAGAGGTGATTGACCACATTATAGAAGTCTGATCAAGGCAACATGCACATACAATACCATTTTACCTAAGGGACTCCAATCTCCATGGGCTTTGGTGATTACCAATGGACAACTGTGATATAAAGTCTGTAACCTGAGGACTATGAAGTTGCCAATCAGGTTTAATAATTCATGCTCATGGTATGCTCTCATGATTGGACTTTCTGAATGCTAATAAAACATAGAAAGCTTTCTTTACTGCGGTAGAAGGCAAGTTTTGAAATTTCAGAAACAAGTGTTTCTGAAAATTGTATAAATCATGATACAATAAGCTTGTAACAACCGATGTTTCCTTAATCATTACCCATTAATTGTTTCTGTTTATGCAAATGAACCTCCAGTAATCCTCCTAGCTTCTCTTTGGGGATCTGTTGGTTTTAGAAATGCAAACTGCTCAAAGTCTCTGGGTGATTGAAATGGACCCTTTTGTTTAAACAGCTCTCAGCCTAATGAGTGTGTCTGACAAAATCTCTTTAAAGCTTTCTTTAAACAAAGTGAAAAACATTTCAATTTGTGCAGTTTTCTTGGAATTGATGTTGGCAAGGCCTGAATGCAACAGACTACTGAAAGACAGGTGGTCAATATCAGTTTCCTAGGCAGCACACTCTGCAGCTCTTGTATCTCTCTCTCAGACAAGTTATCTTTTCCCAGTAAGTATATTCTGTTCTTAATCTCCATTGTTACTAAAATTAATTCTGCAATTTTAGAGAACATGAACTTATATCAGACATATAGCAGGCTGATAGATTCTTTCCTTTATACCATTTGGAGATCTTGGGTGGTGACATGGGGGACTCAATGTCAAAAGTCTCTTACTCCTCTGGAATGCATTCTTAAGCACTGGAAGGTGTTCAACACTCATCTGTTAGAAACAGTTGCTTGGTGTTTGCACTACCTCATGGCTGATTATCCTCTAGATCCAAAATGCAATACAAAGGGAATTATAGTGCTCTATTACAGTTAGAATCATACCGTTAAAAAGACAGAAAATAGAACTGTCTTATGGTCAAATTTTCTTTTCAAAATAATTCTTATTTATGCTTCAAGTATAATTGCAATCTATATGACATTTCCCATATCCAAGCTAGATCTAGGACAATTTTGAGAGGACTGTGAATGGTGCATTGAGGTCTTCAAATTTACTCAGGCCTACAATGAGGCTGGAAAGATGTGGTGCTAATCTTAATTCAAACATTGACTTCTAGTGAGATACAAGCAGCATCACAAGTTGCTATTGTTTTAGAATCCCAGGATTGAACTGAAAGGAAACCCTTTTGCCACAAAGAGGTGGAAAGCAACTATTTCTTTCTCTAGCAGGCTTGTGGGACCAAGTGCAAATCAATTTTGGGTTTAGTTTTTATGGAATTGCAAGCAGGAAGTAAAAACCAGAAGCGAATTGGTTTATGTCAGGGCATACATTGTGAACCAGATTTCTTCCAGGGGGATTTACTTAAAATTGAAGAGTTTAATATAAGGCAGGAAAAACTAGGGAGTGATCTGGAGCTGACGAGGCGGTTGAAATTAAACATGTACTTCACTCTTGCTGGACAGTCCTTAAACAGAATATGTTAATATGTCAGAGTGTACATGCAGCCCAATTAAATGCTATCAGACTGATTTAGCTCAGAGCACCTCTAAGCTGCAGCTGATCTGGTCAGTCAAGGCTGAGTCTAATGATCTACGTGGTGGGGTGGGTCAGCACGTCGTGTTTTAACAGGGCATCAGAATGTTGACTTTTAATATTTCTGTCACACTACTATATTTGGGTGTGAATATCATATTATTAATTTTAGAAAGCCTGAAGATAAACAGACAAGAGAAAAACCAATTCCCACTGGAGCACAAACAGTCCCTGCTCAAGACCCGTGCTGTTCTAATAGTCAGACAGTAGGTTGGAGAAGACATTTTCAAGCAAGTATCCTTGAATGTCCAAGGACAAATATGTAACCCTCTTGATAATGTAAATAGTCACATATTTATCAGGAGAAAGGTGCAAACTCCCCTGCCTTCTTAGATCATTTACTAGAGGCATGGGTAAAACATAGGTCCATATCTCCTGATTCAATAGGCCTGATCATGCTTAAAGATACATTTACTAGCCAGTCAGTCCCAGATATTAAGAAAGACTTATGAATGATAGCTTTAGCTAATCTTGTATTGCTTCTGTTGTTTTCTTTTGATTGATTTTATTCTATTTGTTTTGTTTACTTTTCTTATATCTCATGGTATAGGCAGCTACTGTGAGGACAGTAAGAGGCATTGTAGTAGCCACTCTTGTTTTCCTATGGTTTCAAAGCCCTGTATTGTGTTCACTGTTCTCCTTTGACTGGTTTCGTTTTGTTCTGTTCTGTTCTGTTTGATTTTATTATTCCTGACAGTAAGGACAGTTATTTTCAAGATAACAAGAGGCATTATGGTAGCCATTACTGATTTCCTTTTATCTTGTTTTGAAATCCTATACCACATTCGTTATTATGCTTTTATTAACTATTTTATTTTGTTGGTTTATTCTCTTCAAAATAAAAAAAAATTTAAAGAATTAAGATGTGCAATGTACATGCAAAATCTCCCCTATAAATGCAATTATTTATTATTTAAAGAGAGAAAAAAACAAAACAAAGTAGTAAAAGGGTACAAGTAATACAGAATTTCAAGAAAAAAATACAGTAAGAAATCATCAGTTAATAGGTTACACACTGTCATCTCAGAAACAGTTGTCCAAATTACAAAACCAAAGCATACAATGTAGACATTCATACAGTGAGACTGCAGACAGTTCTGTTCAATGATCCATCAAAAACTCGATAATATGGTTTTCTATATTACACACTTAAATAGACATGCAGTTATATCCTTTAGATGACTTCCTTTTCCTCTTTTTTACAATAACAATTACACTTTTTAGGTTTTATTACTCCCACAGTTCTTATGACTTTTTTGAAGAAAAAAAAATGTGACAAAGCAACAGAGTCAGTTGGAACAGATGGATGGATATATTACTTGATGAAAAAACAGAATACCAGGTGATCAACAATAGTTACCATTATGCCTCTTGCTATCTTAAAAAGAGTTGCCTATATTATCAGGTATTATAGAATTAAACAAAACAGTGCAGAACAAGACCAATAAAACCTACATTGGAGACCATACAGGACTTCAAAAGAAGATAATAATCAAACCATAATGGGCATCATAGTAAATCATATTGCCTTCAAAGTGGTTGCCTATACCCTCAAAATTGATATTACCAAAAAAAACAGAATATAGTAAAATCAGTCAGAACAAGATGGGGGGAGCATTACAGGGGTTCAAATCAGGTTAACAGGAAAAAAAATTACTATAATATATCCTGCTATTTGTTAATTTAGTTTTCTCTTAATTAAAAAAAATAAATTATTTTTTAAAAAATAGAAAAAGGGGGAGATTGAGATAAAAGAAGACGTAGCAACAGAACAACACAGGTCAGAACCAAACAATTTAAGCATCATTGTGTTTCACCACCAGATTACCTGATATAATAGTAGTCACCATAATGTCTCTTTCCTTGAAATATATGCATAAAACTTCATACACTATAGCATCAAATATATCAAGACATTGTGAAGCCATTCAAGAGAATGAAAGTATTACAGGGTATTTAGAACCAGCTAACAGAAAACAAACAATGGTTTCTATATTATCTCTTTGCCTATAAAAATTGTGTTTATACTATCGCATATAGTAAAATATAATAAGATACAACAGGTTAAAACCAATGGAAACAGACAACAGCTTGATGGGACTTCAAAACAAGACAATATTAAATCAGCACTAGCAATTATGATGTCTTGTTTTCTTCAAAATAGCTATTTGTACTATCACAAGACAATAAAATCAAACAACTCAGATTAAAGCCATTCTAATTAATGAGTGAAACCATTATATGTCTTCAAACCAATATGATTGGGAATCATGATTACCACATAGTTTTATGTATTCTTATCATTTCTTAACACTAGGGAAACTATTCGGTATTTATACATGTGAGTTTGATTTATTTCACTTGTGAGTATGGTCTCAAGCTGCGTCCATTTATTTATAAATGTCTCAATGTGATCATTCTTTATATCTGAGTAGTACTCCATTGTATAAAAATACCACAACTGTTTGATCCATTCCTCAGTTGATGGACACTTAGGTTGTTTCCAAGATCTGACAATTACAAATTGTGCTGCTATAAACATGGGTGCACATATATTACTGTGGTATGATGCATTCAGTTCTTCTGGGAATATGCCTAGAAGTCGAATAGCTGGGTCAAATGGGCCTTCCAATCCCAGCTTTCTGAGAAATCTCCAGACTGACCTCCACAATGGTTGCACTAGTCTACACTCCCACCAACAGTGCAGGAGAGTTTCTTTTTCCCCACAGCCTCTCCAGCATTTGTTGTTGGTGGTTTTCTTGATCTTGGCCATTCTTACATGAGTGAGATGAAATCTCAGTGTGGTTTTAATTTGCATTTCTCTAATG